TAAACCCCAAACCCTACACCGCAAACCCTAAACCCTGAACAATAACGATGGGACTTGACCTCTCGGAAACGAAGTTTACGGCTTAGGGCTTAGGGCCCGCATTCGTTACAAAACGGTATACTTGGCAGCAGCCCAGGAATCCAACCATGTAGAACGATTGTAGATCCGGGACTGATCAGCGCTTTCCACAGCAGGGCACAGGGCCACAAACAAGCTGCATTTGGACACATAGGCCGGGATGCTGTCGATAGCATGCTGGAGGCTCCCTTCCGGGTCGGGTGCTTTCTTTCTCTGCTGCGGGCAGCTGAAATAGTCATACCATACGAAGACAGGATTGGCTTTTAAAGTCTCGGCTAAGGACCAGCTGCGCAAGCCAAAGAGAAGCTCTGTAATCACGTCCACGGAAGCATGGCAGAGGCCGTTCAGGCTGTTCGAGATGGCATCTTGGAGAACTCGCAGCTGTTGGAGGGTTGGGTCAGGGTGTCCCACTCCGATCCTCACGGTCGCACAACAAATGTTTCGGGGCCTGAATAAGGGCAACTTGCCAAGTAATAGTACTGGTCATTATCTATGGGCTCCTTCCCATACTACTCAGGATAGCTTGGTCGTGCATCGAAAGGCTTCTGACCGAGGATCCACTGGTGAGAAACGAACATGGCTTGGCCTTTAAACCGGTCAAAGAGCGTCAGAACCCCGTCGGCCAAAAGCACCTCGGGTGGTGATATATGGGGTTTCAGGTTTAGGGTTTAGGGGTTTAGCTTGAGAAATGCTCCAGAGAAAAACCCCGCCTCATGCGGCAAAATCTCTGCCATCTCGAGAAGCGCTTCAAGGTGCACGGTGTACATGGGGAAAAACTCGACATGCTCCTGCGAGTCGGAATGAAATATCATTCTTGTCGAGTCGTTGTCGCCGGCTTCTTCGTTCGACTTCTTTGCTCTTTTTTGGTGTCTTTGCTGTTACTCTTTGCTGCGACTTGGGGTTTCTCCCTATCGTCTCGTCTCTCAAGTTGGTGGGTCTCTCGCTCTTAGCCGCTGCTTCTACCAGTCTCAAAAACACCTCTTCTTCCTGTTGATGTTCTTCCACTTTTGTAGTCGCTTTTGCGGATTTGCTACAGGGGCCTTCAAAAATAGAATGGGGCTCCTTTTTAGGGCTGTGCTTCTTCCCAACCTTTCAGGAGGCAAAGAAGAATAGCCCGCGAGATCCTCGTCGGGAAAAAGCCCAGGAAGGCCTTTGTGATAAAGCTACATGTCAATGATTTCGGGTCTAGGGTTTAGGTAGGGTTTAGCGTTACATGTCAGATTCGGTGGTTTTGGGCTCTCAGACAAAATCCCTACTACGTCTCCTACTTTGGACGGAAGCCGGTCCATCCCCCGCGCCTGCTGGCCCTCCTCGTCCCGCTTTTGGCGCAAGGACTTTGAAAACTCTGCCAGGGGAGTGTTCGCACCTCAGAGGCTCTGGACCCTAAACCCTAAACCCGAAACTTAGGCCCTAAACCCTAAACCCTCAACCCTGAACCCTAAACCCTGAACCCTAAACTTTCCAAAACCCTTTACCAGGGTCTGCTCGAAAGCCAGGAGATTCAAAAAGGGATGCTGCCCAGGACTCCAGTATCCGTTAATTAAGGAATATACCTGAAATCATACCCTAAACCCTAAACCCTAAACCCAAATCTGACGTAAGGTATATTCTTGTATATTCCTTCATTAAGGGATATTGGAGTCTTTGGGTACCCCTAAACCCTAAACCATGAGCCCTAAACCCTGAACCCCAAAACCCTAAACCCTAAACCCCGAAGCAGGAGATTCAAAAATGGATGCTGCTCGGAGATCTAGAGACGCTCACTTGGCCCACCCAGGCAAGGCATCACGAAGCAGAAGTTTCTCTCTGTGTTTGCCCCATAAAGCAGGGAGAGCCAAGTCTTGCGAACACGGAAGTGCAAGGTTTAGGGCTTTGGGTTGAAGGGTTCAGGAGTTGAGGGGTTTAGGAGTTTAGGGTTTAGGGTTTAAGGGTTTGCGGGTTTAGGGGATAAGGGTATTTACTAGGGTGTAATATAGGGGCCTTTGCAACTAGAAGAGGGTTTTGGTGTATATGATAATTCTTTTCATGGGAAGTGACAAACGAATAGTATTGGCAATTCTTCAGGCCCCTACCTTAGGCTTCAGGGCCAGAAGGGCACTTGGACTTTCCGGGCCTCGATCCTGGCACGGCAAAACACAAGGGAAGCATATCCGGACGCACTCACGAATTTTCAGAGTGGGTGCAGTGGGATGTTGCGAGGGCGAGCCTCTTGTCGGTTCTCCTGGGATGCAACTGTTCGAGACTGACCCCGAGAAAATTCTTCGCATGACGGCAGGTGCAAGCTGATACTGTAGATCTTCGGCGCAGCATGGCCATCAATTCGATTTCGGGTCACGTCTGCCATGCGGCACCTTACCACACACGTCTTGCCAGTGCAGCTGATGTCCCATGCACCTCCCTTGCATCCTCTACACATGGGAGGATCGAATTCTGCATGGAATGGTGAGACAGCGGCTTGCCTATCTTTGCAGGGCTAGCCGTGCTCTAACACCCAAGGCAGAGCTCGATGTTCAAGTGCAGGTCTTCTTCGCTACTATAGGGGCCTGCACGAACTAGAAGTGACGATTTTGGGGCTATTATACTACAATTGCAACGGGGATTGCAAGAGAATAGTAGGACTAGCTATTTAGGCTTGAACCTTCTGCCTTCAACCCTACACCCATTGAGCTGCTGCACATTTCAGGCATCCTGCGAAATTGGAAGGAGATGCCAGGCTCCGCTCAGCATTTTGCAGAGGCCTTGCGTCATGGAGTCAAGCGCATGGCCTAGGGCTTAAGGGCTTAAGGCTGACGGTCGTGCTTGCTTGCTTTAGGGTAGGAAAAAGCCATGATGCGACTAACTCATCGCAGTATAGTACTGCAAGAAGACAGTGCTGAAGCTGTAGTCCAGCACAACAACACCAGTAAAATACTAGGCACTGCGCAACGATATAAGTGAACCCGTCATACTGACCATAGTAACAGTATACTGACAAGAGCAACAGCAATGGAAAACAGAGTCGATAGGAGGTCATCGTCGTCCTCGGCGTCGTGGTCGTCATAGTAGAGTAGTAGTCGTCGTCGTCCTAGTAGTAGCCGTCGTAGTAGCAGCGACAGTGCCTCGGAGCGCGATCACCTGGCAAAATTCTCAAGACTAGAGACGGGCTTGGGTTTAGGGTTTGGTTAGGGTTTAGCGTTTAGGGCTGTCTAAAGTCTACAGGCAAATGGCAAGCACAAAGCCAAAATTCGACCTGGTGAGTAAGGCTCTTTACATGCCTCAACTGGGGTTATAAGTACTTACAGCGATGGTAACTTCAGAAGCATCTCTCACACAGCCTTCCCAGAAGCCCACGATAGGTGTGAGCTCTCGTGGGTTTCTTGGTTGACGTCTTCGGGCTGTGACTTGCTGTCATTCTCTTCCTTGATAGTCCCCTTCTTACTAGCGTGCAAAATACCCCCAAAGTCTTATTTGACGACTCAGTGCCCTACATGATGAGTTTTATAGAACTTGAGGGCAAGATCCCAAAGACAAGCAGCAGTTTGCATCTGATGATCTGATGTCCACGTTCTCTTTAGAGAAGCGAGTGTCCTGCGCTGCGTTCCACTCAGCTGCAGCACTGAGGCGATGAAAATTTCTACTTGGACGCAGTCGGGACTTCGAGGTTTTACCTCCGAAGCTCCGGAAAAGTCCAGCAGCAGCCGGCTAAGCGCAGGTCATTATAGTATCCTTGACGAGATGGTTGGAAAGGGGAGGGTAGTACGGATTCTGGGGAACCGTACTGAATTTTAGGAAGCGGAAGTACTTGGGAGAACTAGGGAGAATTACGTCTTGTCATGTATACCCCTTTCAACCCACCTCGCCTAAGGATCCATTACGTCAGGGTCAAGCGATCTTGAAACATTTCGCACAAAAACCGCGGTCCGAGGCTGCCGGATCATGTGCGCTATCGCCTTCGCAATGCCACGCCTTGGTAGAGCATTGCCACTCCTGCAGCATCCTGCAGCTCATTCTGTAGCGTGAAGAAGCCGTCGGCCTTGAGCACCACGGCACTACTACTCGCTACTGCTACAGCTACATCAGCTACAGCGACAGCTATCCCTACCCTTACCGCCACATCTCCAATGCTCGAGCTGCTGCTGCTGCTGCTGCTGCTGCTGCTGCTCCTACTACTACTGCTACTACTACTACTACTACTACTACTACTACTACTACTACTACTACTGCTACTGCTGCTGCTACGACGACGACTGCGACGCGTGCGATCGCTACCAGCATTCCTGTTCCCACTCTAGGCG